GTGTACGCATTACCATAAATAAATTATAACACTCGCTACTCTTGCTGCGAGTTTATTGCATGTGTGCGATAACTCACACACCCACACACACAAACAGACACACACACCAGCTAGAACGAGGAAGTACACTGTAAACGGACGAACGAATGGGCGGCAGATAATAGCAGTTGCCAGCTTGATGCAAGCGCAAATGCCTAGTGGGAGCGAAATGGAGCAAAGCTATAAACCTACGCCAGCGAAAGCTAGCTCCTGCTGAAAAGTGATTGGGCGGAAGGCGGCTGTAGTCACTGTAAGTCGTGCACACGGCGAATGATAATAATTTACAACATAAAACCAAAAACACAATGGCACACTAGAAGCTGCGAACGCAAAGCAACTAAAACTAAACCCAAACCCAAACCCAGGCCCATGCTCGAACCCATGTAAACTTATAATCCTTTATGTGGAGCCCGAAAATGGCACTCAGCCGCAATATGTTGCATGCAAACTATGCAATTAGTTGGGCCAGCGCATGGGCGGAAGGAAAAAAAATTGAGACTAAGTCGGATATTATGTGCTCGAAAGACTAAGAGTTGAGAGTTAAGCTGAAACTGAAGTTTCCGTCGCTGACAGTTATCAGACCCAGTGAAATTGTCGCCTGCCAACTCAGCAGCGCTCGCTACTTGAGAAATAGTCAAAAATCCCTGACAAATTGTCAACGAAAGTTTCTTGTGCGCCGTAAACTTTCCAGCTGCAGAGCTGTCTCTGTTTGCAAACTTTTTCCCGATGGGTCGACTGTGGACGAGTTCAAAAAAAAGTATAAAGTTCTTCATACACAGGCACCTAAAGAACGACGCTGAAATGATAACGGACAGCAGAGAATCTGCAGAAGAATTTTGCCGGAGACGAGACGAATTGATTTTCAAGTTTCTCAAGCAGCAATTAGCTGTGAAACTTGCCACAAGAGCAGTGCACAACGAATTGAAAGCAGCTTCAAGTGTCAGCAGCCTGCACCAAGTTGTGCTCGTACAGATTCTAATATCTGAATATTACCCAGATGTGACTTTCATTTGACTTTGCTTTTGTATTCAATTGCTGAAATCCTTTTCTTCACTGGCACATAGCTCAGGTCTTGGCTTACCTACTAAGTTTCAATTAAACGTTCTTGCTCGCTCGCTTTGCAGTTTCGAGCGCCGAAGATGCCCAGCTGCAGCAACAAAAGTTTTTTCCTTCACAATGTCGGCTAGAGTCTGTGGATGGCTAAACAAAAAGCACAGGCGACACTCAACACACAAACAAACACGAAATTACAAATGCAGGGAAATATCTAAAATTCGTATTACACTAAGAAAGTAAAAGAAATGAAGGAGGAAGCACAATATATATACATATATATATATATATATATATCTGCTCACATATATATATTTTTATATGTATAAGATATAAAGCAAGCAAAGGGCAAATAAATGCCAACGAACGGAAATGAAATTGCAATTGCTGGGCCATGCAGACGACGGCAAGTCGCGACGCGTTGATGCAGAACATGGGGCTGGGAGGCTCTGACGCTGGGTTGGCGGGCTGGCGGGCTGGCGGTTCGGCGGGTTATGGCGTGGATTGTGGCACACGCGACTACCTATTAAAAGTTTACATTTGGCTTTTCCCCCTTTTTCTGTGCACATTTTCGGCAACTATGACGGCATTTCCATTTCCGGCACGCTTTTACTTTGCGCCTCAGCGTATGCAATAAAGTTCGTTACGCAGCGCGGCAGCTACTACAAAGCCGCGAGCAGCAACTATGGTCTGCTAGCAATAGCTACGAAAGGACTGAAAGAGGCGCAGCTTTAAAAAAAAGGCCACCAAGAAATCCGGCATTCCATGTTCTCTAGACACTGTTAATACCACACACACACACGCACATCAGCACACAAGAACGCTCATTAGTTTAGCGGCAGCAACGCTAAAAGCAGAGAAAGCGTGCACCCTGGTGCTAAACAAGTTAATTAGTTTGTCTTTTTCCCGTTTTGGTGGCTCTGGCTGCGCCGTTTATGTGGCTCACCATGGGTTAAAGGCACTATAAGCGCGAATCTGTGTATGTGCGCGAGCGTTGCGCCTGTGTGTGTGCCTTAGAGTTTATCTTAATGACAAAATAAATTATTTACCACACACGAACACGCACACACACACATGCACTCGCTCTTCAATTGACTCTATTTTCCCACAGAGAGAATGTGAGTAGCTCAGCGGCTGTGTATGCGTGTATGTGTGTGTGTGTGAGCTCTTGCTTTAATGCCACTTTTTAGATGCTGCTATTACTTATTTTTAATATCAGCTCAGCTCAGCTTCCTACTAAAATACTGCCAAGCGTGGCCAATGATTATGTTCTGCCCCACAATGGGCGGCATACGAAGCGGACAAATATATGTATATATAAATATATATATTTATATATTTTAAAATATACTTGAAATTCATTTACATTTATTTTTTATAACTATTATAAGCCACAATGCAGATTAAAATTTTCATTAGGCTATGTAAACTCAGAAAAATTGATTTTTACTTAAAGTTGAGCATGAAAATGTTTTGATTCTAATCCGCATTTGTACACAATTCTTACTCAATTCAATTTAATTTAACTATAAAACAATTCGAACGATTAAACTTTAGCCAGAAATATAATTAAAAATATATATTGAATATCCAAAAAAATAAATAAAAACTTGACTAAAAATTTCTATCACTGCAAATATTTGCAATTTTCGTATAAACAATTGCAACAATTAGCACACAAATGGTCTAAAATGCGGAATGAAGTCGTATATATAAAAACTAATTTAATTTGTTGCAAACATTTGTATGGTATTGGAATTTTAATCAACTTAAAATTTTGTTTTCTAAATGCATGGAAGTTTTGCTTATCTAAAAATAAATAAAATAGATAAATAAATGGAAATAAAAATATATATATGACAATAAAAATATCAATGTATAGATATAGAAATTAATTTAAGAGTATTAAACTTAAACTTGATGATAAATTTAATAATAGCTCTTCGACATTTGGAAGGTGTGAAAAGCTAAAAAAGTTCAAAATTATTTTAAACGCTTTTCACCCACTGTGCGAGAGCACAGACTTTAGGTAAGTGGATATTTCAATTACATGCAACGACGCTTCAATTGCCTGGTCGTCACATAAAACCACTTTGTTGTCCCAGTCAAACAGTGGCACGCAGCGATTTGGCTATGGGGCTGTGGCGAAGCTCGTTTAATCTTAGATTTTAATTGCACGGCTATAACGTTGGCCCCAAAGACACTGCTCCCGTTGCTGTAAGATGAGTGGGCCGCAGCAGTTGTGAGTAAATTGAATTTAATTACAACATGTTTCGCTTTTAATTTTGATTGTTGAATTAATTTTAATACATCATAAATTTCGAGAACGCCATAAAATTTTCATGGCTGCCAAATGCAAATGCAAATGGCTGACTAAGCTATGAGAACTGTTCCTACTTTCTTTTGTTTTTTGTTGGTTTCCTTTAAAAAGTAAAAACTTTTTGCTCGCACTAATTAGAGTGAGTGGTACATTAAAAAGTTTACCCCACATGAAGCGAGGGAGGGAGTGGGGGCAAAGGGAGTGCAGGTCGTGCAGGTCGTGCACTCGCGACTTAAAGTTTGCACCAAAAATGTGGCATAAAGAAATTAAAATTGAAATGTAAAACTTGGCAAAGTTTTCACTCACACACGAAGTCGTTGCCAGCAGGAGGCTATAGAAAATTAAATATGCAAAACGGGGCACACTAAAATTCCAAAAAAAAAATAAAAAAAAAAACTAAGAAAAAACTTAATTTCAAGTTGGTCCAGGCCAGGTGGGCGAATGCACCAAACTTGGCCGCAAAAAAAAACTTGCAGCATTGAGTGCACTTGGCTGTGAAGCAGGCAAAAAAAGCAAAAAAGAAAAAAACTCGTTGGGCAGGTGGCGTTAGTTTGGAGACAGCAACTGCTGCCAGCTCATTAAAAGTAAAAATGATATGCATTAAGTTTGGCAACGGTAACGAGCACGTTAAAGGCCTGGCCCTGCAGTCATTAGGCCAAGCTTACGCTGCGCCGTAATGGTCAATGCTAATTGCGTGGAATACATTTGCAATGCAAGCCACACCTGGCCCTTAGATTTAATGGGGACCCATGGCCCACCGTCACATTTGCCGCATAAATTGTCATAATTGTCTGCCACGAAACTGGCAACAGCGGCCGATCAGTTGCCATGACCCTCCCACGCAGCATTCGTGAAGTATCAATGCATATTTCATCGGCTGACACATGCATTAACGTGTCTAATCGGCAGGCATGCGGCGCCCTGGCTGCCCTGGACAAAGCCATCAGCTGATGGTGTGCTGCGTGTGTATGTTTGTGTGGGTGTGTGGGCTTGGGTATGCGTCCATTATTCCTTGAGGGTAACAACATAATTTATGTCCTTGCATAGTCACATGCCAGACATTCCAAACGTTGCTCAACTCTGCTGACAATTTCCTGTCACTGACATGCGACTTTTCTTCTTTATTTTTGCGGCTCTGCCTTAACATTTATTCCGCTGGCTTATGTACAAAATGCCCAAGAAGCAGTCGCTAGGTGAGTTCTGCACAAAATCTGCTGTCAAATCGCTGTCAGCATTCTATTGTGCACAATGCGGCGTATGCGTCATGTCCTCCAAAAATTAAGTAACTCAATATATTATTGTTTTGCTTGCGGCGAGCGGTAGCCCAGATGTTGTTACAATCATGTGTGTTTGCCCAAATACCTATACATAGCTCAGTGGTATTTTTTTCTGCTTATATCAATTGATAAACTGATAAGGGCTAAATGAACACACCATAATTACCGAATGACTCAACAGAAAAAATAATATTCAATAGTCGAGCGAGCATGATTCAAAAAATTCTTCACTATTTTTTTTTGGCTTTTTTTTTATTACTCAAATTTATTTAGCACGAAAATATTTGTTAATAATTTGGATCAATAAAACGGAACATATTTTTTTCTTTCGAGTTATATATAAATATTTTTTATTGTAAATAAAATTTAAAAGAATGTATTGAATGGCCTTAAACATTGCCGACAGCTGCCAAGATCTTTGTATAAACCTTAATGCCTTCCAAATACGTATCTGCGCCCAAGTACTCATCGTGATCATGGAGCAAAATGGGGGTATTTTTCATGGGCGAGAAACCGAAGGCGGGAATTCCTTGAGAACGCAGAAATCGGCTGTCCGTATTGCCGGGACAGACATATGTATGGTATTTGACGTCGCTGTTCGATATGGGATACGTGAGGGAGGGGAAGGAAATGAACATTAACTAATACTTACAGTTCCTTTAAGGAATTCTCGAATGCTGTCCAGAAGGGATTCGAGTCGTCTACCTTGGTTGGAGGCACGTATTCGTCTTGCTGCTCGAATATGATCTCAATGCCACCACCTGCCTCTTCGCACCAGTCGTTTATCTGCTTCTCGAAGGCAACCAGATCGACGTCGATAGCAATGCGTAAATCGAAGACCACCTCGAGCATGGGAGGAACCACATTGCGTTGCACGCCACCTGTCACTACTGTTAGATTCACAGTGGTCACGTCGCCGAAGAAAAGTTTTGGATCATCTTTCAGCTTCTGGACCTGGGACGCACGGAATCCCATCATTTTGCCCACAATATAGTTGAGCTTTTCGCCGGCGGTGTTGGGCAACAATATGGAACCATGGCCAGCTTGTCCGCTGATCTTAAATCTAATCTCTGCAAAAAATAATCTTTAATATATACAGGGAGTATTGCATCATGTACACGTACGCCATCCGGTACGCTCTGCGTAGTAAACGTAATAGGAATCATCCAAAGTGGAAGAGCCCTCGTCTAAGCTGAGGCCCACGTTCAGAGACTTGAAGTAATCGCCCTTAATAAATTCGCGCATGCCAAAAAATCCGCCATTCTCCTCATCGGGCACAAAGGTCAAGTAGAAAGTACGCTTCGGCTGGTAGCCCTTGGCCTTGAGTGCGCGAATGGCTGCCAGATATTGAGTGCCAACACACTTCATGTCCTGCGAGCCTCGCGCATAAATGCGACCTTCGTCATCGATATCAGCACTGAAAGGATCATGAGACCACTTCTCCGGAAACACGGGCACAACATCTGTGTGCGAGTTCAAGATGATGGAAGGCAGCTCTGGCTGTGTGCCCACCCATTTCATTATCACAACGGGATTCTCTTCGTTAACAGGATAAACGACATCCACAGGCAGATCCAGGCTGGCAGCCTGACGTTTCAGGAACGCCACGCAGTCGGCTGTAAGTTGTTCGGTTTAAAGTAATCTGACTCGAAGCATTTTTACGATGCCGCTGCTCTGATAAATCGGCTTATCGCAGATCTACACAATCTTATAAACTTACTGTAATCTATATTTGGGTGTACCGTGGGTATACGTAGATATTCACGGAATATTTGAATTTCCTCATTATTTTCCCACTCAGCTTTGCTCATTTTGTTTAGCTGCTTTGTTAAGACGTTTGTTTGGCAATAATCTAAACAATTAATTCTGCAAATATGTGCTTCTATATATATATATATGATTTCACTATAAATACTTCGGATGCTCAGAGATGCTAGCACCAATAATAAGAGCAGTGAACGCTTTCAGTGTTGGCCGACGACTGTTTGGCAGTCTTATCGACTCAGTGCTTATATACGAAATGCCGCCATCCATTATAAAGCTTTTTCATTAACAATGTGTCTACTTTTATCATATTTACAACTAAGTCACCAATTGCTATCAGTTAAATGTGGATTTTTCGAATGACCTTTGCCCGACACTTTTTTTTGCTCATTGCTGTTGTCGGGCATGGCTCATATAACATATTGGAGTATGCAATTTATTAAAATTAAGTAAATAATTTAGTCACTTCCGGTGTGAATGTGTTTAATTAGCATATGCAAAGCAGCAAGAATATTTAACGAATCGACAAATAATTTGAATTTCATTTGCATATCTGTAATGTGTTTGTTATTTTATTATTATTTATTTATAACTATTTTGAACAGTTGGAAAAGCCAAATCACCCTCAGCCAGAAGTCAGATTTGCTTATCAATTTATTACACATAATCACGTCGTTTGATTGATTATTATTTGCTGTACTTTATTGATTGCGAAATTAACATAGATCTCATACCCGATTAATTATGCTTTAGACACTGGCAATGGCCGGAATGATCTTCGTGTAAACCTCGATTCCATGCAGATAGATGTCTGCGCGCGTGAACTCATCGTGAGCGTGCGGTAGGGTGGGCATGTTCTTCATCGGTGAGAAGCCCAAAGCCGACACTCCCAATGGCCTCAAGAAGCGGCTGTCCGTGCATCCAGGGCACACAATGGGCGTGTACTTCAAGTTTCTGTGGAAAAAGTGGAAGTTTGTGAGTCCGATTACATATACCCTGCGTGCGGGCGTACTAACTGTTCAGTCAGTGAGTTTTCAAAGGCTGTCCAGAATGGGTTCGAGGCGTCCATCTTAGTGGCTGGCGAAGATTCATCTTTTCGCTCAAACTCGAACTCGATGCCGCTACCTGCCTGTGTGCACCAGTCACGTATCTGTTTCTCGAAGGCAACCAGATCAACGTCGATAGCAATGCGAATGTCAAACACTGCCTCTAGCAGAGGAGGGAGCACATTGTTTTGGACGCCACCGCTCAATATGGTCAGATTCACGGCAGTCACATCGCCAGGGAGGAGATTCGTGTCGTCTTTAAGCCTCTTAACCTGAGTCGTGCGGAATTCCAGCAGCTTCGTCACAACGTAATGAAGCTTCTCGGCGGCAGTGTTCGGCAGGAGCTGGGAACCATGTCCTGTCGTGCCGCTAGCCTTGAATCGAATCTCTGTAAGAAGTCACTGGTCAAAGACTTGTTTATCATTTGGTTATCTTGACATACGCCACGTCGTGCGCTCTGCATAGAATATAAAATAAGAGTCGCTTAAATTGGAGCAGCCCTCATCCAAGCTGAAGCCCACGTTGAGTTCCTTGAAGCGGGATCCCTTAACGAATCCTTGCATGCCTAGAAAGCCGCCGAGCTCTTCATCGGGCACAAAGGTCACATAGATGGTTCGCTTCGGCTGGTAGCCCTTGGCCTTGAGCACTCGAATGGCGCCGAGATATTGCGTGCCTATGCCCTTTGTGTCCTGTGTGCCACGTGCGAAAATTCGACCCTCGTCGTCCAGATCGGCGCTAAACGGCCCGTGTGTCCAATGTTCGGGGAACACAGGCACCACGTCCATATGCGAGTTGAGCATGATTGAAGGTAGATCTGGCTGGCTACCCAACCACTTCACAATGACGACGGGATTCGCATTGTTGACAGGATACACGACATCCACTGGCAGATCAAGGCTGGCTGCCTGACGCTTTATAAACTCCACGCATCCGGCTATTGAAGGCAGACAGTTAATTTCATGGCACAAGCTCAGATATAACTACTCATGATTAAGATCTATATGTACCCAAGGGCATATCCTTATAACTTACTGTAGTCTACATTTGGGTGTATGGAAGGAATTCGCAAATATTCTTGGAAGATTTTGATTTCTTCATTGTTTTCCCACTCAGCTTTGCTCATTGTATTTTTGGTATCTCAGGAAGTGCCACAAGCTGCTGCGCTTAGAGAAACTCAATGACTGTTGCGATCTTCCCTGCTAATGCTCTTTTGAGGTATCAACATCTACTTTGTTGGCAAAGAACACGTACATTTGCTGCTAATGTGTTATCGGGTTTATGGCATTCGGTGTTTGTTCCATAAATTTGACTGATATGCTGCTTATCAAGGTGATTAATTTGGTTGCAAATGAGCCTGTTATCGACGTGTTTTGTTTGCAGTCTAAGCACTAACAACAATTGAAAGAAATTTATTAACCATACTTCAAACACTATAAAGTAAAGTAGACGTCTCATTAGAAAATTACGTTAAGTGGTGCTTAGGCAATTCAACTGATAATACAGTGGATTGCCTTAACGCCCAAATCTATATGAAACAAATTGATTAAGACACAAGTAGACTCACAATTTCGAGTTCGTTTGCCCATTAGAAAACTAGATAAATAAGTTGTTATAAATTAATTAATTAAGACTGATTGGAGTACACGAATATAGAAGACAAACTTGTCGTTTCTTATCAGGCATCAGACATCACAAATACCTTTTCAACTTCTTATCAGCGTGTCTATTTAAGGCGTTTTTTATCAGAGCTCGTTAAGCCTGCTTGCTTATCTCTTGGCCATGGCTTGAAGAGTGTGCGGCTTGTAAAAAAGCGTAAGAGACCAAAGCATTCTAACGAGGCTAGCACAAGTCTACTGCATATCAAATGTTATATAGATACATATGTGTATCTATAGACATAGCTATATGTAGGTAGTAAAAGTCAGTGCAAAGTTTGCAGATTAGACGAATGAACCCGTCGTAAAATCAAAATATCTTACTGTCTGCTGCTGTCCACTGTACTAAAGTTCAGTTTTGTCGCTAAGAATTAATTTATAAAAAATATGCTTTGATCTCTGTCACTCACTGTAGTCCACATTCGGATGGATCGAAGGAATGCGCAGATATTCACGGAAGATTTTTATTTCTTCATTATTTTCCCACTGAGCTTTACTCATCTTGTGTGTTGGCTGAGGTTCAGGTCTGATTTAATTTCAAATTGATTTCGCTTTTCTTTTATATACCCAGAATTGGGGAAAATGTTGCTATAGAAAGTGCGGTTACTTCTTATCTTCTTGGTGCCGAAATTTGCGGCTTAACTTGTTATCAGTAGTTCCATTGTTTTTATTATCATAATAATTATATCTCAGGGCTTTGTTACGGAAACAATTAAATTATAATGTAGTACTACTCATATAACTTCTATCAAGATCAAGGTTGACAGCTTGAAACATTTTGGTTTTTACACAGCGATGGTAACATACTTGAAGTATCATATATTTTTATTAATTTTACTAATATATAAAACATATTTATAAAACTTTAAACTTTAGCTTCGCTGCGAAGCATGTCCAAGTTCCTGTCTTTGTAGCTGACTCAGTAAACTCATCAGCCAATGACTGCGAAACATTTTGTCATTTGATTATACTAAATTAAATTAACTGTTAATCTTGAGTCGGTTGAGTAATGCGAATTCTAAACATTAATTATGGGTCACCTTTGCACTTCTGAAGAATGACTATTTAGTCACTTTGTCGCTTGGTCAACATGTTTCAGCCGAAAGTACGTGCTTCATATGAACAGTGTCTGGCGACAGCTACTGGTTAGGTAGCAAAGCTCAGTATATATATGTGTACATATCTATATCTATACATAAGGTTCGTTTTATCAGCTACATTTGCCATTATAATAAATTTGAGTGATTTGCCTTTTATCAGCAAAGTAGGTGTGATTGAAAATTAGCCCATTATCAAAGGTTTCACTTGTTACTTGAGCTCAAGTACGTTTATTGTTAAATTGCAAATCGATCAAAATATTGGAATCAGAATTAATTAAGTTAAATGTGCTAAGCATTGGCCACAGCAGCAATTAGTTTCTTATACATTTCAATGCCGCGCAGATAGGTGTCTGCTCGCAAGTACTCGTTGTGGTCGTGCAGTAAGATGGGCGTATTATTGATTGGCGAGAAGCCCAATGCCGGGACACCAGCTTGTCGCAGGAAGCGGCTGTCGGTTGCGCCAGGAAACACGCGTTGACGGCTTTTTACACCTCTGTAACCAATTAAATAAGCTAAGAACTGAGGCGAATTGCTTCCTTCTAACTTACAGCTCGTCTAAAGCCTGCTTAAACGCCAGCCAGTAGGGATTCGATGCATCGATCTTTGTGGGAGCTACAAAGGGTTCCTTCCACTCAAACACCAGCTCAATGCCGCCGCCAGCCTCTTCGCACCAATCGCGAATTTGCTTTTCGAGCTCAACAATATCCACTGTTATCGCAATTCGAATATCAAAGACAGCTTCCAGCAATGGCGGCACTACATTGCTTTGGACTCCACCATTCAGTTGGGTTAGGTTCATGGTGGTGACATCTCCTATGTCAATGGTGGAGTTACGGTTGAGTCTTTTCACTTCTGTATCACGGAATTCCATGATTTTTCCCAAAATGTAGCTGAACTTCTGGCCAGCGGTCTTGTGTAGAAGAAGTGAACCATGACCAGAAGTTCCACTGATCTTAAGCCTTAAGTCTGAAAGAATGCAATTCGTAAGAATCTCAAAGAAATTTGCATGCGACTTACGCCATATAGTTCGCTCTGCATAAAACACTGCATAAGACTCGTCCTCGCTGGCCATGCCTTCGTCAAAGCTGAATCCCACATTGAGTTTCTTGAAGTAATCACTCTTGACCAGATAAGACATTCCTGCAACAACGCCAGCCTCTTCATTAGGTACAAAGGTGAGATAAACAGTTCGCTTTGGCTGATAGCCGCTGGCTTTCAGAGACCGAATGGCCCCAAGATACTGAGTTGCCACACTCTTCATATCCTGGGCTCCACGACCGTAAATGCGACCTTCGTCATCCAGATCGGCATTAAACGGTTCATGGGTCCACTTGTCCCGGAACACCGGAACAACATCCATGTGAGAATTTAGTACAATGGATGGCAGTTCAGGCTGTTTGCCTAGCCACTTTATAACAACAACCGGGTTCAATCCGGCCAAAACAACCTCCACAGGCAGCTCAAGACTCGCTGCTTGACGCTTTAAGAACTCCACACAAGGGGCTGCATACCGAAAAATGATGCGATATCAACAACATACTTAAAGATTCCTTTATATCGAATACTCACTGTAATCCACATTTGGATGCACCGATGGAATGCGCAAATATTCACGGAATATTTTAATTTCTTCATCGTTTTCCCACTGCTCCTTACTCATTTTGAAATTGTTACACTGTCGCTGTCTGGCGAGGTTAATTTACATTTATTTTAATAGTCACACTTCACGCTCCCTTTAAATACATAAGTCCATTCATTGTCAAAGTCGTCATAATTGCCTTGAAGCTACGAGCCTTATCAACTTACGCCTAAAACGCGCGGTTTACCTTGTTATCTACAACTACTTTGTGGTTTTTTTTTATTAAAACTAATTTTAATTTTCACATTTTCTTTCTGCATTGGTTACGAAAACAAAACACCAAGTGACTTAAAAGGGAACATATATATTTCGTTTGTATAACTTAAAAACTTATATTTCAATTCCAAGTTTCGTAGTTGCAGCCTTTTAGCATATAAAAAAATAGAGATGCAGATAAATATTACTTTAGTTTTCGGCTAGCTCCGCTGATCTATCAAAATGAATCATTTTGAATCAATTGGTTTGATGGATATTTAGTTGGGAGCCTTCTTTATGTTAGAAAATTTCTTATTATTTAAGAATCTTTAGCTAATTTTAAATAAGTAAAATTTAGGTTATCGATTGCTTATATTTATCAAAAATTGAGAGAGTTCACAGAAGGTGAACAGTGCCAAGTTGGCGAGCCTGGATCAATAACTGTGGAAGATGTGTTTTCCGATTTCAGTATTCTTTAATTAGCGTATTAAAAAAACACTATATATTCAATATGTCGAATCTCTTGCTTGCGGTGAAATTGATATGGACACATGGACGCACAGCAAGACTCAGATTAAGGACTATAACATCCCCTCAGGCATAATACATTACAGCGAAATGTTGCATTTATTAATTCCATGAATTATTGAGTAAAAAAGAAAAAGGAAAATGGCATCCTAGCATCATATGTAAGGAAATATGAATCTGTGATTTGCACAGTTCCTGCTCCAGTGCGCATGCTGCATACATATTCACAGTAATTATTAACGTGCCACTTTATGAGTGAAATAAATATGTTTGATAATTTCATTTAATATGTAGAAAAATGTAATGCAATTTCCATGTAAATACAATTCAAATCATTTCTAAATGGCTGTAGAGCCTTTAAGTCCAAACAAACTGGAAAATCACAGTTTATTGTGTTATTATTCATTGCATATAATTGGAATGAAATATTAGTGGGCCGCATTTGGTGTTTATTTAGACATTGGCAACAGCTGTTATGAGTTTTTTGTAAACCTCAATGCCGTTCAGATAGGTATCCGCACGCAAATATTCATCGTGATCGTGCAACAGTAAGGGGGTCTTGTTAATTGGCGAGAAACCCAGGGCCGGAATACCAACGTGTCGGACATAGCGGCTATCGGTGGCGCCCGGGAAAACACGGTATCGAGTCTTCATGCCACTGCGGAAGCAAAAATCATTTTATAATCAGATTTTCAAGATTGAAATCACACTCACAGATCGTCTAAGGCCTTCTTAAAAGCCACCCAGTATAAATTCGAATCGTCTATCTTGGTGGGTTGGACAAAGGGATTTTTCATCTCGAAATACAGCTCAATGCCGCCTCCAGCCTCTTCGCACCAATCGCGAATTTGCTTCTCGAGCTCAACAACATCCACTGTTATGGCGATTCGAATGTCAAAGACCGCTTCCAGCAACGGCGGCACTACATTGCTTTGGACACCACCATTTAGTTTTGTTAGATTGACGGTGGTGACATCTCCAATGTCAATGCTGGAGTCATCCTTGAGCCGTTTGACTTGCGATTCGCGGAAGTCCATCATCTTGTTCACAATGTAATTTAGCTTCTGGCCAGCGGTGTTGGGTAGCAGCAGAGAGCCGTGCCCAGCAGTTCCACTGATCTTAAACTTCAGATCTGAAATTTGATATATGTAATGTGGACTTTGTGGAAATCTGTCTATGACTTACGCCATAAGGTTCGCTCTGCATAGTACACGGCGTATGTTTCATCTTCACTGGAAATGCCTTCGTCGAAGCTGAAGCCCACGTTTAGCTTTTTGAAGTAATCGCTATTCACCAACTCACGCATGCCCAGATGACCTCCAACCTCTTCATCAGGCACATAGGTGAGATAGACAGTACGCTTTGGCTGGAAGCCACTAGCCTTGAGGGCACGAACGGCACCCAGATACTGAGTTCCAACGCACTTCATGTCCTGCGAACCACGAGCAAAAATGCGACCTTCATCATCCAAATCGGCACTGAATGGCCCGTGGGTCCATTTATCAGCAAAAACGGGCACGACATCCGTGTGAGAGTTCAGAATGATTGAAGGCAGTTCAGGCTGCTTGCCAAGCCATTTCATTACCACAACAGGATTGGCTTCATTGACGGGATAGATGACATCCGCAGGCAGGCCCAGGCTGGCTGCCTGACGCTTCAAGAATTCAACACAGGCGGCTGTAAAACGCAGACAGTTAATCTTTATGGAATGAATTGCTTAAACGACTTGCTTATCTACTGTTAATATAGATATGAGCAAGAGTCTCGCAAAACTTACTGTAATCTACGTTTGGATGCACCGTTGGAATGCGCAGATATTCGCGGAAAATTTTAATTTCCTCATTGCTTTCCCACTCAGTCTTGCTCATCTTGATCAGATTCCGTTGCTATAATATGCGTGCATTAATAGATTTGTCTATACATATACATTTTAATGGAATGTCAATCTAAAAATGTGCGATTTTATATGCAAACAGCTGCTTCCCCGCAGGCGGATCAGCTGTCTAGAGCTTCGTTAAATACCTTCCCAACACTGGCAGCGATCGTCGGCTTCTGTGGCCGTCGGCGTGCACAGCTCGTTTAAATATGCCTCAGCGCCGATTGCCTGACGATATTATCTCGTTGTTGAGGTTTCCACTGTTTATCAGCTTTGACTTTATTCGCTTTATTGCTTGTTGGTTTATAGTTTTTCTCGATGCTTATCAGCGGCGGTTGTTTACAATTGCCCTGCTAATCTATGCATAGGGTATTCCTGGCCGCTCTGTGCGTGATTCGTGTCGGTTGCACGATTTGGCAGTGAGCTAACGCTTTGGCTTAGTGCTTAATTTATATTCTACTTTCCACTTGGATTCCTAATCTGCGTTGCACACACACACACACATACTTATGTATAAATGCCCATCTAGTTTGAACGTGTGGCATGTAAACAAGTTGCTGTCGTTATTGCTGCTGCTGCTGATGCAGATGCTGATGCTGATACGAGAGCTGTTGATGTTGCTGGCGTGCTTAGTAACTCCCAAACAGGCTTGGCAGCTGGCAACTGCCAGTGCATTCGTGTGTGTTTGCTCGTGTTTGTTTGCAATGTAAAAGTGTGTGTGTGTTTGTGTGACTGTGTGCTTGTGTCAGATTTCACGCTTATTTCAATGGGCGCAAATTGCTGTACACAAAAGTTGCTCGAAACAAAACTGAAACGCCGAGATTTGTACAGCTCGTAGACTTCAGTTTAGTTCTGTTTGTACTTGCTGTACATATGTATCTCCTGGGAATACATACATATATTTTTGTGCCATCGCAAAAAGTCATTAAAAGTTCATTAACAATGTTGCAAGGATTTTAATGGCAGCGACTGTGCCAGCAACACATGTCTACATTTCAAATGACAAACAAATACAAACACAAACGGATATCATCAACAAGTCGAGTAGGTTTCTGTACATACATACATACATACACATATACATGTATATACTTGCACATATATGCTTGGACATTTTATGTAATTGTTGTGATATAATTCTGCATATTTGTTGTGTTTTGTTACAATTATCCAGTCCAGCTCGACGGATGTTGACACAATTTCTTGTCTGAAGTCTTGCATATAAACATACCATATACCAGCACATACCTTTATAAAGCAATATAATATATATAAAGCAATTGAAATTCGCATTAACTTTTTCTAATGTACGCTTCCATTGCGTTTTATCAACGTACAGTTCTCTTAATGTATGCCATGCAACAGCACTTACTATGCCTGAGCATTGTTCAACATCTGTGGCAAACATTTCAATCTCTTCACCATTCCTATTTTCCATTATCTATGTGACAATACCTTCCATGCAGAAAGCAAATAGCCCGAGGACACGCTCCAAGGCGTGCGTTTCCATAATAGGGCTGGGCACGTATCCTTTTATTCATTCGTTTTGCCTAGATGCTCAATGCTCATCTAAATATTGAATTTCGTGTGCTGCAATAACCCAAGATTTTATTATTGATGAATATAAATTCTATTAGAGTTTATATGCCACTTTGATGTCTCACATAGAATATAATAGATTATAGTTAAAGAAATGTTTAAATATATTACATTTCCTCTTGGCAAGTGCTTCAGCAATACTCAAGACACTTATACTGAATTGGCAATGTACATACATACATACATATGTGTATATATAGTTTCATATACATATGTATATAGCTATAGATATATATAGATTTAGAAATTGTTGTATTTATTTTATCAAAGCCAATTAAAAAGGTTAAGGGAATGCAGATTTAATTTAATAATAATAATAAACTTTTATTTATTATTTACCGAAACTAAAGTTACGAAACTTTGGTTCAACTACATTTATATATTTAAATGGAATTTTTTAATTGACAAGTTCTCATCAAATTTGTAATTCAGCTGCTCCGCATACATATTTTTTTGCTGTTATCAAAATGTATTATATTTATAAATATGTTTTCTAAATTTACTTTGCATAGGTGTTACTAGAAATATTTCTGTTAGGTAAATATAGAACATATATACATATAAATTATATGTTTTCCAGTCCTGTGGTGACTGAAAGTTAGGTTGAGAGGCGACTGTGCCTCTTATTGCTGGCCTCGGGCTCAGACAATGAAATAAGCCATTTAACGAGCAAATGACGGAGTGAATATTTATTTAAGCGGTTTACTGGAAGAACGCTTTTTAACCCTGCTTTTAATTGTTCTTTTTTGAATAATCGAAACAGTTAATTTTATTGGTTTTTCTTATTATATTCACTATTTTTAGTTTTACTTATATGACACCAATTTTTAGCATGTCCTATCAGTACGAGTTAAAACACGAGACTGATCTATATTTTTACAAATCATAGCCTCACCGGCGTAAGTAGAGTTGCTCTTGCCAGGGCTGTTCCTTAACTTGTCTAGCACCCGATAATAAGTGTTGAATAATACCTTATATTAAGTGTTATAAGCTAACTAAGTGTTATAAGTTAACTACCCCCCCCCTCAAGTGTAAGGTCGTCCTCGACCGACCCAATTCCAGCGACGACTCCTCGCAAGTGCTTCGCGGACTTCTTTGCGTCGATGATCCACCAAAGAGTGAGGCCAATGCAGATTAAAGCACAGCATATGGCTCCTCTTTCGGAGTGCCGTACAACGACACATCATCAAAGTGCACCATTTCGGTTCCTTGGTCGCATATTAGCAGCGGTGACCAGCGAGTCGGTGCAGGTGTTCTCGAATGAAATCCGCAAGTCGTTCTCATTCACATTCAATACGGAGCAGTATGAGCAGCGTACTGATTCTTCGCTATCGCCGTTCAGCAGGCGCTTACTAAGCTTGCTCTTGCGCCTACGTATGTGGCGTCTGTTGAAGCTGTTGGTGCCCGACGTGGACGTGAGCCTTGGCATCGGATGATGCACACCAAAGTTGTGCAGCTGCAGCGACTTGAGTGTGGCTGGCGCCGTCGATGACTGGCCGTGCACGTGCCCGTGATGGCCGTGATGACTGTGTCCCACCACTCCAGCGATGCTATGAGCCGTTACTGGACGAGTGATGTGTGTAGTCTGTCGGCGCGCTCAGCTGGCGATTGAATTCGGCCTTGCGGCGCGTCAAGTCCGTCAGGCAGTATTTGTTCAGATGGCCGTTGCTGGAGACAGGGCTCTTGGGCGATGATGCCAGATGCTGCGTATAGGCCGAAGGAGTTGCTGCTCACGCTTAGCTTATTGCCGGCGTTGTGCAGCAGATTGTTACAGTTCTTGCCGCTGATCTTGGCTGCCAGCGACTGCGACACCGGCCGACTTTTTGCTAGGCGCCCTGTACTCCTTGTCGTCGCTCTCGCTGCGCACCGATGCTCGATACGCAGGAAATGTCTTCGTCTTGCTCTTCAGCGAGCCGTTCAGCAGTAGCTGCTGTTGCCGTGCGGCAACTGCCGACAATGCCGGCCGCTGCAGTTGACGTGACGCCGCTGCCGATGAGGATGAGGATGAGCCGGCAGCTGTGGAAGGTGCCGACAGAGATGGACAGCGGTTGGAGCAACCTGTGGCTGTGAAACTTCTTGAATTAATGCAGTTGGCGGTGTTTTGGGGATTTCTTGACTTGGTTCTAGTATGGATGAAGAGTCGCTTGGCTCTGCCGCCGCGAAGAACTCGTTAGTTGTTGCTTCTACTGTTGGTGGTGGTGCCGTGAACAAGGGGATTTCCTCAACGATTCCGCTTGTAGATTTGCCTGCTGTGGTTCTGGCTTAGCATCCAACTGTGGTGCGAATAGAGCTGTTGCTGGTCCTTGTGAAAATATGGGCAAACTCTGTGATGTTGGGAATAATGGAACTTCCGAAACAGGTGCAGTTGACGGTGGTGCAAATAGTGTAACCTCCTGATTTTGATTTGAAGAGCTCTTTAGCTCTTCCCTCTGAGTCGGTGACTTAAAAAGGTTGTTGCTTGTATCTGGTGTAAGTCCTTGTGTTGCGTTAGTCGGACTGGAAAAGAGAGGAACCTCCTGAAGTGTATCGGATAGTGCTGGTGCAAAAAGCGATGTAGTTGCTTCGTGAGTCTGAAAGAGGCCCGTCGATGCCTGTGGTGTAAACAGCGATGTTGCTGGCCCAGTTGGGGGTGGTGCAGCCGCAACAGAGGAACTTCCTGGCTTGGCGCTGGTGCAGCTGACGGAGCTGGCGCTGTAAATAGGGCAACTTCTGTAGGCTGTGCTCCAAAAGGATTAAAAATAGCAGCAGGTGCTGCGAAGGGTGCAAAGGGCGTGGCTGTTAAAGCTGTTTGCTGGCCAAAGCCTGTTGCGGGCACTGCAGTTTCCTGAGCTGTCAGTGGACTCTTGTAGAGTCTGGTACCCTTCTGCAGGCGGTACGAGGAGTGTGCAGGTCCTGCCGCTGGTGGTGGTGCTGCTACTGCCGCTGGTGGGGGAGTTGCTGCAGCCACTGATGGCGGTGCAAACGTTGGAGTACTCTCGATTAAACCAGGTGCTTGAGCAGCTGTCAGTGGCTGAGGGACAGTGGCTACTTGGGTGACTGTCGGAATCTGAGCGTATGTCGCTGGCGGAGCAGTTGCCCCAGGCTGAGTAAATGTCGGTGGTACCGCGGCTGGCGTTGGCTGAACACCGGTTGATTGCCCAGAAACAGCTGGTGCTGGCGTAAAGAAGTTACCAACAGACGGAGCTGCAGCAACTACGGAAGGATTGATGTAACCACCTACAGTGGGTGGTGCTACAGTGGGCGAAAAATAATCAGCAGCAGCAGGCGGAGCTGCAGGCGTAAAAAAGTTTGCAGGCGGCTGCGGTACGGCAGCGCCGGATGTGCTTATGTCAAAGTAGCCACCAGAATCAGCTGGATTGTAGCTGGCTGGTGGGGGTGGCGCAGGTTCGTTGGTTCTGCCTGTGGCCGATTGCACTAGACCCGAAATATTCTGTAACACGCCAGTGGGCACTAGACTAGTGAGTGAGAAGAGACCACCGCTCTTGCGTTCCTCTTGAACGGCTGGTGGTGCAGGCTGCTCGAATGCTGCTGCTGCCGCCGCTGCCGATGGCTGTGTGGGATATGGCGGTGCTTGGAAGGGATCAACAGCTGGCACTGGCTGCTGTTGCTGCTCGGAGA